CCCCCCCCCCCCCCCCCCTCTACCTCTCAATTCTATGTTTTGTTGCTCTCTCTCCCCCTCTCTCCCCCTCACGCTCTCATTATGCCTCTCCCTTATTCTCTCTGTCTTCCTGCCTGTCTACTCTGGGTCTGTGTTTGAAAGGGAACTACCAAGGTGGTGAACCTGCTGGACTCGGAAGACATCCAATACATGCTCGGCGCACTCAAGACGCTCAAGGCAAGCGCTAAATCCGACAATTCTCTCCCCCGACATGCACTCCGAGTGGCACTGAGTTCCTTCCCTCCCTCCAAGCTACATCCTCGAGGAAGTTTAAAAATTCATCGAGCGAACAAAAAGTATTTTGCTTTCACAGACAGCCGGTTGTCGCTATCGGTAGGTTATAGTTTTGGCTTGACCACGTTTTGTGGTCTAGTGTGGGCAGGTCAATCAGGATGTGACAGGGGTTCGTTCAGCTCCACAAGCAAGTTGATTCATTGAGACCCTCGTGACGGCAATGCAGAGCGGAAGAGAGAGAGAGGGCGTGAGGAATTCGATTGGGTCTTGGATAGCCGCCGGCCACCGACCGGCAAACCGGCAGCAGTGTAGGTTGTTGGATACAGTCAGCTGTCTACCTTCACACTAGCAGTTGCGTTCTTCCCCGGTGCTCTCTCCACCGCACTCTTTGCCTATCTCAATGTCTCTATGTCTCTCTTGTCCTCGCCTTCCTCCGTCCGTCCCTCGGCGACTCCCTTTCTCGTTCTCACACCCACAGTGTCCTCGTTACCGTCGCGCCATGTGAGAAGATCAAGTGCAATATCTGCTGTCATGAGGATGAGCCCAAATTCCCCCCCTTGGCGCTGCTGCTTGCTTGTGCACGCCTGTTCATGGTTGGAAACACCCTAGTTGTTCAACGCTTTCTGCTGGAATGGCCAAGTCACCTCCCCTTGCAGCAGTACTGCTGTGGGACGACTCGCACAGAATTTTTTTTTTCACTCGTCATTGCAAGAAAGAGATGACACATGTATCGAGAACCCCATACACAATGAACCACGGACTGAAGGGCCCATCAAAGCGCGCCCAAATCTTGACAAAGTGAGCAAACATTGCGATACGACAACACAGGTCTCCGTGGACAGCGACCTCGAGGCGAAAACGGTGGAGGTGGTGGGCAACGCCGGCCCATTCGAGGTAAACTTGCTTTCGTTTTTTTTTGTTGGAGCTGTAACGCTTGTTACATTTGTTGGTTTCGTCGCTATGCTATCTTGTTTGTTTCGCCGAAAACGCCGAGTGGTGGGCGGTGCTCAGGCGGGTGTCGGCAGGGGGGCCGGGCACACGCGCTGTTTGTTGGTATCAGTTTTGCTCCAAGCCAGACAGAAACGGGCATGATCTCATTGCCATCCCAACGTTTTTATTTCTATGACCCTCACGCGCTAAATTGGTCACTTGAGGTACGCTGGCGGTTATAGGCAGGAAGCTACTCTTTATTCTTCGAATCAGATTCCTTGGCAGCACGTTTTATACATGAACCTGCGGCAACAAGTCCCGCTTTTACTGTTGCGTCAGCTCCTCTCTCCCTCACCCCGCCTTTTCTCACGAGCGCTCACGCAGGATATGTAACCACACGCCGCATTTTTCAGCGATTGTGTTTTTTTCACGAGACTGTTTTAAGTGGTCGGTACATATAGCCAGCGCTTACATATCGACAACCGGTTGTGTTCACGGACCAGGTGTCGGACCCTACCGAGCTATTCCTCGGCAACGCGGGGACTGCCATGCGGCCCTTGACGGCGGTGGTGTGCGCGGGGAACGGGGAGTTCGTCATGGACGGCACCCCCAGGATGCGGGAGAGGCCCATCGTAGATCTCGTAGATGGGCTCAAGCAGGTGGGGCTTTTTATCGGGTGCGTGTCATGGTAGATCTGAAGATGGGGGCTCAAGCAGGTGGGGCTTCTGGATTTTACTATCAGATCTGGTGGGCTCAAGCAGGCGGGCTCTATTTCAGCAGCGTGTAGGTCTCAAAGCAGGTGGGCTTTTGGTTTACATGAGGGTCTTCGTAGATCTCGGGGACTTGTTCAAGCAGTTATGCTTCTGGATTCTGCTACCGTGTCCCGCGGTCACCCCCTCCCCCCAGTTCGGCGTGGATGCGTCTTGCTCGTACACGGGGTGTCCTCTGGTGACCCCCCCACTCACTCACTATCCTCCCCCCCCCTCCCCCGCCAGCTCGGCGTGGACGTGTCCTGCTCGGACACGGGGTGTCCCCCAGTGAACATCAAGGCAGCTGGCCTTAACGGGGGGACGGCGAGGGTAAGCGGGAAGATCTCGTCGCAGTACCTGTCGGCCCTGCTCATGGCGGCGCCGCTGTCGTCGGGAGAGGTGGTTATTGAGATCACGGATGAGCTCGTGTCCGCCCCGTACGTGCACATGACCATCAAACTCATGGACAAATTCGGGTGAGAATTTGCCGCTGCTGTGATGTACATATATGCCAAGTTTTTTTTTGTGTGTGGTGGTCTGCGAAGCTGTTGCGAGCAGAGCCGGTTAAAACGAACGAGAGCTTCTTAAGACCATGTGCGAACCAAGGCAGCGAAGCAGTTTTCAGCTCCCGCCCCCGCTCTGTCTCATCCAACCCACCGACGCCGACAACACCACCATCTTCCCCGCCGTGACCCGGACACCGCGGCAGAGTCAAGGTTAAGAACGAAGGGGACATGCGGTTCACCATCAAGGAGGGACAGAAGTACGTGTCCCCGGGGACGATAGCCGTCGAGGGCGACGCCTCCTCCGCCTCCTACTTCTTGGGCGGCGCCGCCATCACCGGGGGGCCCGTGACTGTACGCGGGTGCGGCAGGGACAGCGTGCAGGTAGGGCGCAAGGGATGGTGCGCGAATTCTGGTGTGTGTTTCAGGGAAGGAAATATGGTCGAGACG